TTAAACTTTACAGGTTTAGAGGTAAAAGGAAAACTTTAAGGGGGTTCTCTACTTTACACGACTAAACAAAAAACAGTGATCTTTAAGAATTTTTTTTTTAACTAAAATGAAATTGAATAATTTCAAACGTTTAACAATGTTTTACTGTATATTTGAGCAGTGAAAAAAAAATTTTTATTAATAAATAATACAATGTCTTTATAACGTCGCATCGCTGGAGTTGTGTACAATCTAAGAGACGTAATTTTCGTCTGAAATAAAAAAACCAAATTTTTTTTAATTTTAATAAAATTATCTTCTATATGAAGTAACAATATTACAAAAAAAATTAAATTAAACAATTTTTTACAAAAAAAGGTTCAAATTTTTTTATAAAAATTTTAACTTTTTTTTTTAATTATTAAAACTTACTCAATCATTGAAATTTTTAATGTTTTGTTAGTTCATATAAAAGACAATTTTATAAAAATTAAGAAAAAAAATTTGGTTTTTTGTTTTAGACAAAAATTACGCCTCCTATAGATTGTACACAATCGAACAACTCCAACGGCTCGACATTATCAAAACATTATTTATTATTTATTAGAAAAACACGTTACTTATTGATAAAAAAAATTTCTTCCATTGCTCAAATATACAGTAAAATACTGTTAAACTTTTGAAATTATTCACTTACATTTTAGTTGAAAAAAAAATTTTTTTTAATCACTTTTTTTAGTCTTGTAGTCCTCCCTTAAGTATGGAATAAGAATGTAAATTGTAAGAGAAGATAGAAATATTTAGAAGAGTTACAAAAAATAAAAAATACAAATAGAAAAAATAGTATAAACACGATAATTCTAGTATAGGTAAATGATTTGGAATTTTAAAGGCCAAAAATAGAAGGGATGTATGGATGAATGCAGTGGATAAGGAGAATTGTAAACCAAGTCCCTTCCTTGACTTTGTAAAAAAAGAATTAGAAGTAATAAAGATTCTTCTTCCATTTAAACTTTACGAAGATGATTTTGCTACTGCGTCATAAAAAAATTAGCGATTACAAAGATGAATTTGCGACTTTTTATGTTCGCGGTTTTAAGTGTCTTGACATTGAAAACCGTAGAGTTCCATGTAAATTCTCTTCCTGGACTCTCTGCGCTATATCTCTATACTTGACAAAACACGATAATTAGTATGTGAGTCAGGTTTTCCCGTATCTGCAAGTATATATGCGAAATTCACCGAGGCACTACTTTAGCCTCTAATGTCCTCTAATCTCTAATTTGGCGTGCAAATCACTGGGATGCACACCCAAAATTATTACAAAGACAAGAATTATTATACAGAGAGGATTCATCCTCGAATGTTGACTATTAAATTTCCCAAATTTCGCTACCGCCACGACACGTTGCGACATTCACGACGTATTCGAGCAGGATGGATACTCAAATTTTGTAAAAGAATTCCCTGAAAATTCCCGGATTTTCCAGGAATTTTATCCAAAATTCCAGATAAGATTAGAGAATTTCTCAATACAGCTTAAAATAAATTAGGCACTAAGAATTCTAATAACGTATAAAACTTGGTGCGTGAAACAATTTAATCGTCTCATATGTACAATAGTTACGTCTCCATACAAAATGTTTCGAACGTAACGATAGATTTTGTATGGAAATGTAGATTAAATTGTTTCACGCACCAAGTTTTGCGTTATTGGACTCTTAATGTCTAATTTATTATTTCCGGATTAACGTTTTTTTAGATTAAAGAGTCTTTATATAGCATAAGTCAATTTTAAAATAAATTAACTTTCAATATCAGGGGCCTACTTTCTAAAGAGACAAAATTAAATTTTACACTGAGAGAAAAATAATTTGTATTTGTGACTATAATTGCATGGTAAAAAAATTATGGTCAGGAGCACTATTTTTATAGTTATTATTAATGTTAGCAATAATAATAAAATATGAAAAAATTTTACTATAAATTATAATAATTTCAAATATTAATATAGTAAAATATTAAGATATGTATGAGACAAATAAAATAAGTACTTTTATATAGTAAATGCAACTGCAATTATAGTAAGTATAACTATTTTCTTAACATTTGTTTACTATTTATATTGTAACAATAACTAAAAAATAAGTAAACGAAAAAATAATAATATCAATTACAATGTATAACCATAACACATTGTTAAAGCAGCTATAATTTGCATGATTAAATTAATTATAATTTTAAAGTTGTCCCCGAAATTCACTATAAATTATAATTAAATTATGGTTATTTCAACTATATTTTTCTCTCGGTGTAAAAATTCAAAAAATTTCCCCGAGTACCAGTAAAATTCCATGAGAATTCACGATTTTCAAGGGCAAAAATGAAATTCCCTGAGAATTCCAGGTTTTCCCGGTAGTACCCACCCTGCCGAGATAAGGGATGCTGCATTCATTGCGCATCAAAGGAGAGCGCGCCGCGGAGCGGAGGCGCGAAATCCGGGATCGGGCCCGGCTTATCAAGCGCGGACCTTACTACTCGCGCGCACGATCAATGCATGAATGGAAGCACACGCAGGGACACCCATACGCGCGCAGCAGCGCTGTATAGGAGCGCACGCAACGCACGCACGCACGCACCGGCGAGCGAGCGAGCGAGCGAGCGAGTCAAGAGGATCCTCGCCGAACGTCGTCCGTTTCGCGAGACAGAAATCTTCGCGAGATTACGCGCGAGCTGTCAAGCCGGGCGCTCGCTATCCGCTCGCGCGATCACGTCGCGCGGGGTCTGCCTGCACGCGGCCGAGCCGGGCCGGCCGGAGCGCGCGCGGCGTGCCGCGAATTGACAGCTCCAAAGTGAGCGACGGGACGGGACGGGACGGGAGTCAGAAGTTACTCAGAAGCCGCGCGCGCGAGCGGCGCGGCGGAGGGAGAGGACACAGGCGGGCAGGCCAGGGCAGCAGCCTTACGCGCGCGTGTATGTATGTACAATGTATGTACATACAAGAGATAAAAACACGTCACTTACCGACGCCGTACTTGGTGGTCTTCGTCGTCGTCCACATCTCGAGATCGGGGGCCGGACGGACGGTGCGGTGCGACGCCGACGACGACGCGACGTGGAGACCGGCGACCAGCGACAGCTACATACCAGGGCGGCGCGTCCTCGGCTCAACACACTCGCGCGTGTGACAACGACCACAACAATTTTTTTTATTTCTCACGGGAGGCACGAAAACACAAACATTATTGGGGTGTGTGTTGTTGGAGCCGCACGAATGTGTCGCACACTGCCTGCCTGCGCCGCGACGACGGAGTGTACGGACGACGACGGGTAGCCGTACACAGTTCGAGCAGCGTTGCCGGTACAACAAACTACACAGATCACACACGCCACGAGCCGCGGCTGGCCGCGGCTGACTGACGGCAACGCCGCCCGCGCCCGCCCGCCGGCCGCCCTCCCCCCTCCCCGGCCGCCCGCGCTTAAGGCCGGCCGCGACGGCGCGTCACGTGGTACGCGCGGCACGGAGTAAGAAGATAACTAGAGGCACCGGCGAGATATTATTAAGGTTGTTTTGGCTATACAGTCCCAGACAAAAGTCACTGAAGTTGTGAAATTGATGAAAGTCTATGCTTTCACGGGTTCAGATACGCACCATATCGTGTAAAGGACTTGAATAGTGCCAGTTAATATAATATTTTGCACTGCGAATGAATATATTTGTATATTTTCCAAATTTTGCAATTGCCGGCAAAAAACTTTTGGACTTGAGTTTCACGTCCAAAAGTTTTCTTGCCGACGATCGCGAAGCTTGGAAAATATACGAATGTATTCATTTGTAGTGCCAAATATTTATATTAGCTGGCATTGTTTAAGTCCTTTACACGATGCGAGCACGATATGGTGCATATCTTAACCTATAAAAGCATAGAATTTCGTAATTCAGTAACTTTTGTCTGGGACTGTATAACCATTCTTAAAGGCCGACTCAGCCGACTGTGAGATCACGGAAATGCGTGACGATTCACAGTTTGACGATAAGAATCATTAATTTGGAAACATTCATTTTATAATTTATTATTAGAATGTATCGCAAATCGAAATAAATATACAGATATATTCCGTAATAAATGCAAAATTATACTTTGTTTTATTAGATAAAACAAAATTAAGCGAAGCCTTATCTCAGCGAATCAACTCGGATAACACGAGAGCCTAAAAGGATGTATGTACGTCTTTTTTAAAGATTTTTGAAACGTCTTTCAGATTTTATCAAGACATATCTTGAAGATACTTTAATTAAAGATAGTTTGTAAAAAAATATATGTTTTTATATCATACAACTTCCTCTTATCGAGGAAATTATTACTCGGTATAATACTTGGTAATCGTGATACTTGGTTAATTATTTGAAGTTCTGAATTCTCTGAATCGTAATTAATTAATTCTTAAAAATATGGCAAATCCAGAATCCTGAAAGAACTTTCGATAATATTACTTATTGCTGCTAGTTACAATTTCCTGTTTCGAAAAAATGAAATTATACCTATATATATATATATATATATATATATATATAATACGCGCAACACTGAAAATTAACAAATAAATATCAAAAAGATATAAACATCAAAAAAGTGGCATTGATTAAATTTGCAATAATTCGTAATTAATTAATTCTTAAAAAAATGGCAAATCCAGAATCCTTAAAGAACTTTCGATAATATTACTTATTGCTGCTAGTTACAATTTCCTGTTTCGAAAAAATGAAATTATACCTATATATATATAATACGCGCAACACTGAAAATTAACAAATAAATATCAAAAAGATATAAACATCAAGAAAGTGGCATTGACTAAATTTGCAATAAAAATTGCAATTCCGTTGCAAACGGAGTTTTCGTAGTTGTGCGCTAAATCCGCCAATCGGGACGCTGGTTGCGCGAGGGGAGGCCCCATAAAAATCTTATGGGAGTTTCCCCTCTATAAACTGCTACCACGGGATGTGTCAGGTCAGGTGGTTAAAAAATCGTTTGGAGACGGTTGCCAACGGTCGTGATTGCGTCTCGCCGCGTTCAATTCGTCCGATCTGGGACTGTCCCGAGACGGAGTTTCCCCTCCAGGATTACGACGGCGACAAGAGAGACCAGAGGCGATTCGCGAGGATGCGGCCGGACTCACGCAGCGTCTCGTTCACGTTTCACCGGGAGCTGAGCGCGCGAAACTCGCCGGAGGTGGTGCGGAGGTCGCGAAATCTGCGCCAGCGTCTGCAGGACCGATTCGAGAAGGACACCCGGGGCTCGTCGTCCGCGAAGGAGAGGCCGCCGTCGAAGGCGAAGGAACCGGCCGACCGGGCCTGGAACAACATCAGCCTCGGCAACGTGTCCGCGGACTCGAGGCGAGCCCTGCGAAACGGCGCCGAGAAACTGTCGAGGACCATATCCTCGGTGCGCACCACTTTCGGCACGATATCCCAGGTGAGATGAACGAAACAACTTGACAGGGGAAATGGATTTTTTTTTTGTTTATTCTTACGTTTGTTTCACCTGGACTGTCATAAATTTCAGCAGATTCGAATCAACCCTGTCCTTCAATCATCTTTATTTGTTTATTTTTTGTTTATTCTAGACGTTTGTTTTACCTGGACTGTCATAAATTTCAGCAGATTCGAATCAACCCTGTCCTTCAATCATCTTTATTTGTTTATTTTTTGTTTATTCTAGCGTTTGTTTCACCTGGACTGTCATAAATTTCAGCAGATTTGAATCAACCCTGCCCTTCAATCATCTTTATTTGTTTATTTTTTGTTTATTCTTACATTGCTTTTACCTAGACTGTCATAAATTTCAGCAGATTCGAATCAACCCTGTCCTTCAATCATCTTTATTTGTTTATTTTTTGTTTATTCTAGACGTTTGTTTCACCTGGACTGTCATAAATTTCAGCAGATTCGAATCAACTCTGTCCTTCAATCATCTTTATTTATTTATTTTTTGTTTATTCTAGACGTTTGTTTTACCTGAACTGTCATAAATTTCAGCAGATTCGAATCAACCCTGTCCTTCAATCATCTTTATTTGTTTATTTTTTGTTTATTCTCACGTTTGTTTCACCTGGACTGTCATAAATTTCAGTAGATTCGACCCTGTCCTTCAATCATCTTTATTTGTAATAGCTAATAATTCTGATTATTTGGTTTAATTACAAAATCGATTCTATTTAAATGATAAGATATTTTCGTATTAATTAGCAGCGCATAAAGCAACACAATTGGAAAGTAATAATTAATAAAAAAAGAAGGGAATCTGAATTGATTATTAAAAATTTTGATTTTACTATAAATGCTGTAAGGATACTGAAATATATAAATTTAATACATTATAGCAACATATATATATATAAATCTTTTCCTTTATGTAGAAATTCAAGAGCTCCACACGCAGACGCCAGCGACTGGAGGAGCAGCAATCACCGTCCAACATGCAGACACCACAGACTCGCTCGCGCCAGCTCTTGGGTCGCACGCCGACCAAGCTCTACAGCCCGTTCGGCATCGAGTCGCCGAGACACGCCTGGAACAAGGAGAACGAAGTCGGCACGCCTGCAGGACGCGCCTCGTCGCCCGAGACGTGCAACATGCGTTACATACACTGTAGACCGTTTCGCTTCGCGAAAGTGAGGGGATTCTCTATGTTGAGATAAGGGGAGAGAGAGGCGGGGCCTCCTTCTCTCTCTCAAAGTTACTGCATGATGTCGATCTTTATTTCCTCCCAGCGAACGCAGATCAGGTTTGCGTGCCTTGTGTGCAACAACATTTGTATATCGAATATATAATTTATTTACGTTCAGTCGAAGGAAAACTCTCGCCGCAAATGGCGCGAACGCCTCGTCGTCGAGCTAGCAGTGACATTTTTCCTTTTTTTTTTATACAAGTAGCATTTATATACGCTAGCGTATACCTTCCACGATATTTATAAATTATATCATTCCATTCGCTTTCCTCGCATGCGTGTGTCGCGCAGACTCTTTCTACTTTTTTTATACACGTATTTATATAAACATATAATATACATTCAATAATGCAATAATGTTACGCGGTACATGGCAGGGCCAATGCTTTTATTCGAATGCGTTCTACGTGTCGAAACGCCTGGAAGTTGGAAGTATAACAACTAAAAATTTTTTCGCCTGTTCGCGCAAAAATCGTCGAATCAAAAACGTATTGTCGAATTGAGATTTGCTTTATACGAGCGACGCGCGCAAGAAGTAATTTCTTGGGCAAGTTTTTACGATGTTCAAAAATTGTATTTTAAGTATATGTTACATAACAAACTGGGGATATTTCGCAATCGTGTGTTGGATCGCGATGATTAAGACGATCATTCGTTCGGCGATGGACAGGCCGGTAATCGATTTTTATATTCAAGACTGTCTCAAGTACAGTCTTAAAATGCCATGCAAGCCAATCACGGAGTTGTATCTTAAGACATTATTTGAGGCAGTCTTAATAAAAAAAATAAAAACGGACTATCCCGATAAACGGAAATGTATAAAAATATATATATTTTTTTAATTTAAATGGAATGAAATTTTTTAATCCATGGATTGAAATGTGGATTGGCCTTTATAGAAATGCATTCATTTCCACGAAGGCCAGTTTCCATTTCAATTCATTTCGAGCCGTGATTTTTTAAACTTCAATCCATTTCCGTTTACTGGGATGAGTACCGGTCTCTCTCTCTCGATCTTCTCTCCGCACAATTTTTTCTCACTAGTGTTGAATTACGACTAGACTGTATCTCGTCTATGTATTTCTCTCCTTTCCAACGGAATTGCAAAATATCCTTGGTTGCACTTTATTTGATATTTATATATATATATATATTTATAAAATGTATATATTACGCTCTAACACTGCTATAACACAACGGTTCTGTGGAAGGAATTGCTCTGAATGATAAAAGATAGGGCAGCTCCACAATATGTACGGCCTCAACTGTATACAGCCCTGCTCTCAAAACTACGACATATCTAATCCTGAATTCTGATATTTATTGGCACAAAATAATAACAATTTTTATGAAGAAACAGAACGCGCATGGTGTACTAGGGTAACTGTCCCTATTAGTGTGTCCTGAATCTATTAGTGTGCTTTTATATTTAAATCATAAAAATAAACTGGTACAAATATATAGACAAGGTATTTTTTTTTATTAAATTGAAGTATTAACTTCATAGAAAAAAAATACTTTATATATTTAATAAGTCATAAAAATAAACTGGTACAAATATATAGACAAGGTATTTTTTTTATTAAGTTAAAGTATTAACTTTATAGAAAAAAAATACTTCTATTTATTTGTACCAGTTTTTTTATGACTTATTAAATATATAGACAAAGTATTTTTTTTTTTTTAAGTTAAAGTATTAACTTTATAGAAAAAAAATACTTTTTGTCTATTTGTACTAGTTTATTTTTATGACTTATTAAATATACAAAGTTTTTTTTTTTATTAAGTTAAAGTATTAACTTTAGAAAAAAACTACTTTGTCTATTTATTTGTACCAGTTTATTTTTATACATTTTAGTCATAAAAATAAACTGGTGCAAATATGTAGGCAAAGTATTTTTTTTATTAAGTTGAAGTATTAACTTTATAGAAAAAAAATACTTTGTCTATTTGTACCAGTTAATTTTTATAACTTATTAAATATATAAAGTATTTTTTTTTTATTTAGTTAAAGTATTAACTTTATAGAAAAAAACTACTTTGTCTATTTATTTGTACCAGTTATTTAAAAATAAAGGCACACTAATAGGGACAGTTACCCTGTACGCCTTGATTGAATCAATTCGGGAACCCTCTATGGACACGTCTTTGAATTACGTCCCAACCTTCGCGACATCATCATGGCGTCTGATTGCGGTGCATAATCTGCAGCGCCGCGGAGAAGTCCGTCCGCGAGCAACGTTCGTGTGTTCGCGCCTCGCCTCGGGATTATCGCGCGGTACGTACTGCATACATAACATCATCGCTACGCGCGAATCGCAGGGAGAACGCGGAAGAGTGCGACGACGGCGTAGGTATATATTTTTTTTTTTTAATCCGCGAACGAGAAAGACGCGATCGTCGTGTCCCTTCGCGCTCGACCGCGAATCCCGTCCGCGCGAGCGGGAGACCCGCGAGAGAGATAACCTACAATCGTCTCTCCGCAATCGATAAACGCCGCGACAACGCCGTAGCACAGCCGTTCGTAGCCGTGTTCGAACTGTGTCGACTGCTCGTGGCAGTTTGACAGTTTCGGCCGAACGGCATCTCTCCGGCATCCCCGGCGACTCGTTCCCGGTCCCGGTTGGTGAACGCGCGCGCGCGCGCGCGCGCACATCCGCGCGTTAATTCGCGCCTGTGTGTGGCGGTGCGCCGCCCATCTGTGTGTGTGTGTGTGAGCGTGCGTTTGTGTGTGTGTGTGTGTATCCCGAATCCCGCCGAACCGTGTCCAGCGCGTGGAATGCGCCGCAGTGGTGGCGGTCGAGAGCAGCAGGCGACGTCGTCGTGAAACCGGCCGGGATCGTCTCTCGTTCTCTCCGCGCGCGGCGGCAGGCAAGTGCGCGCGAAGCGGGTGGATTGATGGCACTTGCTATGCGCCACGACGGATCGAGGCACGTAAATGCGCCCGGAATTGGAGCGCGGAGCAGCACGTGAAGTTCCAAGGGCGGTAAGTCGTGAGACCCGCCCCGAATCCCGCGCGCTTCTCTCTTCCCGGAGTCTTCCCTTCCCCCCCCCGTACAGCCCCTCCCCCCCCCTCGGGTCTTCATCCCGCTCCCAAACACGCGCTCCGCTCCGCGATGAGAGACGGTCGGTAACCACTTTAAAAGTGAGACTTCAAGCCGCGGTAAATCTCGCGTTTAAATTAAGATTCTTATATCGAAATAAACACTAGAACGATACGCTGTGACCCATTTTTATAATACGATGTATGGTTAACGAAAAGATTAGGTTAGCTAAAACTTGAAAGTTAACTGAGACCTATTTTCATAATATATATATGGTTAACGAAAAAGTTAGGTTAACTAAAAAACTTGAAAGTTAATTAAAACACACTTTTTCATAAGCTTATAGTCAAATAAACTAAAGGTTACGTGTACATCAATTGGCATCAAGTTAACTTGATAGTTAAGTCTTAATCAAACGTCGTTAAGGCTCATTTTCATAATATATAGTTAACGAAAAAGTTGGGTTAACTAAAACTTAAAAATTAACTAAAACACTTTCATAAGCTTATAGTCAAATAAAATAAACTATAGATTACGTGTACATCAGTTGAGTTGACACCAAGTTAACTTGATGGTTAAGTCCTAATTAAACGTCGTTAAGGCCCATTTTTATAATATATGATAAACGAAAAAGTTAGGTTAACTAAAACTTGAAAATTAACTAAAAACACTTTCATAAGTTTAAGTTAAGTAAAATAAAGGTTACCGTGAACATCAGTTGAGTTGACGTCAAGTTAACTTGATGGTTAAGTCCTAATTAAATGTCGTTAAGGCCAATTTTTATAATATATGATTAACGAAAAAGTTAGGTTAATTAAAACTTGAAAATTAACTAAAAACACTTTTATAAGTTTATAGTCAAATAAACTAAAAGTTACGTCAGTTAAGTTGGCATCAAGTTAACATGATGGTTGAGTCCTAGGCTGCGTTCGCTTTGGAGCTTACAGCGCTCAATAATCATTTCTTATTATTTATTAAATGTTAAACAAGGATAAATAATGCTTATAAGCGCTGCAAATGCCAAACCGAACGCAGCTCTGATCAAAAGTCGTGAAACAATAAATTTTTTGGTAATTTGTAACCTTTAGGTAACCATACATTGTGAAAATGGGCCTTAAACAATAAACTTTTTGGTAATTTTTAACCTTTAAGCGGCGTCTACAATGAGACTTAAAATTTAAGAAAATTGACCAATTATAGTCCGATTATTTATCTCACGTGAAAAGAATAATCCACTGTGATTGGTCAATTTTCTTAACACCTAAGTCTTAAGTCTCATTGTAGACGCCGCTTTAGATAACCATACATTGTGAAAATATATTATGAAAATGGGCCTAAAACTTAAAAGTTAACTAAAACACTTTCATAAGCTTATAGTCAAGTAAACTAAAGATTACGTGTACATCAATTGAAGTTGGCATCAAGTTAACTTGATGATTAACGTCCTAATAAAACGTCTAATTAAACAATACAATTTCTTGGTAATTTTAAACCTTCAGGTAACTATATATTGTGAAAATGGGCCTATGGAAAATTGAACAATTATTCAAGACAACATAAAAAGCCGTGAAAATCGGGAGGTCGAATGTGTTTAAAGGACGTCCTGATTTTTGACTTTGTGTATGATAATTAATTTCGTTGCAACATCACCATCATCGATGACTTATCTTGGAATTTTTCGTTCGCTCGCAATCTCGCGAGAAGAACCGCGCGCGAGGTTCCCTCTCGTCGTGAGATCGTGACCGCAACGCGGTTCTCTCGCCGGCGTACAAGGAGATCGATTCGCGCGCGATCGCCTGCACCGGCAGCGCGAATTTACATATCTATTTTTAAATCGCATTACATAAATTGCACTTCGCCCGTTGAACGTGAGGTTTACGGGCAACCGTACGTGACGTGTCCCGCCCGCGCATAAAAAAAAACCATCGCACGTGCGTATCTCACGAACGCGACGCGATTACGTTTTTCGGCGATTCGGCGTTGCATATAGAAACGCGGGACCGTCCTCGATGCTCCTCCCGCCGCGGCTTTTTGTTTCCTCCCCGGTCCAGTGGTCCATATATTCGTACCCGCTGAAACTGACGCGCTGTTCGCCCCGTTCGTCCGGTTCCGGGTTTTATTTATCTCGCGCGTGATGATAGCATATACACAACGCGCTTGTCCCGCGCGGGGAAATTGGAGGCAGCCCGCACCCGAGAACCAGGGCTAGAGATGTAAATAGAAAAAAGCCAAATAGGTTTTTTCCTAATAAAATTCGTTTTTTTTTTTTAGAAAAAAAATACATAAGTCGTTTTTTCTCAAAAAAACTTGTTTTTTTTTCAGTTATTTAATATTTATATTTTGCTTAATATAAGTTAATTTTTTATGATTTTTTATTTTATAGATAGTATATTTAAATTATCGCCATTTTAACTGTTACGCAGAACGAGAAAGCCAATATATTGATTCTGAAACGCATTTTGAAGCAAAGACTTTAATGAATAATTATAATAAATTCCACTTAAGGAAAAGCTGTTTAGAAAAAGAATTAAAAAGATTCTTTTTTTGTAAAAGTTTAATGTAGATCACATAAAATTAATTATATAATTACTATTTACAATTAATTAATCGTGCTATTGATATGGAATTAGAAAAAAACCAAATTTGTATTTTTTTAATGAAATAAAACACATTTTTTTCTAATGTGTTTTCCTATTAGAAAAAACCCGTTTTTTACATCTCTAATCAGGGGGTCGATTGTATATCTTGAAACGAGGTGAAAATTACAAAAAATGAACAAATTCACTAGATATTGGCCAATAATAAAATTAAAAATATTCTAGTGAATTTGCTCATTTTGTAATTTTCACCTTATTTCGAGATGCACAATTGAGGGCCTGAAATCGCGTGGCGCGCGGGACCGGAATCCAATTTCCCACCCCAATTTTCGTTAAGCTGGCGATCCGGTTGTGATTTAATTTAATGTTAAGCCAACTCGACGCGTCGATGATTGGGTCACAACTGGATCGCGACGGTGCGACGATGCAAGTGATGCAACTAAAGCTGGTTCTACATTAGTTGCATCGCAGCGTCGCAAATGTTGCGATCCAGTCGTGGTCCAATCGAGCTGCAGCTTAACGTTGATTGGATCATAATTGGATCGCAACGTTGCAACTAATGTAGAACCGCCTTAATGTGGAACCAGCTTTAATTTCCAACTGGCGCGCGGACGGAGTTTCGCTCGTCGTCGACGACGAGTCGAAACTTGTCGTCGCTCGTGGCAACCGAACGTGGTGCCATTATGACGCTCGCGCGCGCGCACGCTCGTTATTTGCATTTTCCGATTACGCGCGGTATTTTCGCGCGTACCATCCTGCGTCCTGCGTCGCGTCGCGGTCGGTCCACCGTCCTACACGTTCGTCGCAAAGTCGGATAATAAAAGGCGTGCGCGCAAAAGCGGGAGACACTCACTTCGCAATCGGATATCTTTACTATCGTCCGCAAAGGTAATTCGATATAAAGGTTCGCTGGACTTGCCGGGAATGCAAACTCGTGAACGCGCGAAAAAAGCACGCTCAAGCCGTCGCGTCGTGCTTTTGGTTTGGATTCGCGTGTCTCGTGTGACTCACAGAGACTCGCGTCTGACGGTTCTTCGACATCTGTAAATGAAACGTGAAGACATAAGGTTGAAGAATAAGCTCACTTGTGCGCAATTAAATTACAATAATTAATGAAAACGCGGCCGGTCACGTTTCCCGATAATTTACAAGTAAAAACCCTAATTTTAAATAATAAACAACTTCAATTCTTATTAGGTCATGCTCAGCACAAGTAATAATAAATAAATTATTCCCGGTGAAACAGATATTCTTACTGTTTCTTCTTTATTTGTTTAAAAATAAATATAAAATGTAAAAGAAGATAATAATATTGTTAATAATAGAAATAAAAATTAAGCTATTTTTAATATTATTAAAAGCCGTATAAATAACTGTATCGTTTTATATTTATTTTTCTTATAAATCTTCTTTAAAACATCATTACGAAAAATGAAATTAATTATATTTCTTTTTTTTTTTTAATTTGTATGAATTTATTGCAAGTATAATACTACAGCCTCTCTGAAAAATCGGGAAAAATTGAAGGTACATTAGTATTACAAAAAAAAGTATCACATATTCAATAAGTTACTCGTCGTGATTATAGGAGCCTCTTAACGTTTCTCGAGTTCATTATTTAAGAAAGGTAATCTCTTAAGGGGTTTCACCACCCTTGAGGTTTTAAAATGATACCTTAAGTTTGGGATTTTTTGTGGATAAATGGATAACTCTATTTAAAATCTGCTTAAAGGACATTATTGTATATATATATAAAAAACCAAAAAAATATTTTTTTAATTTTTCTTATGTCCAAAATAGCAGCGTACTGGCCTACATTTGCGGAATCCCTTTTTTTCTATCGGTGTACAGGATTCCAGGCACACAGTTTGGCCTTGAACAAAACATAAAGAATTTTCATTATCTAAATATTAAAAACTGGAGAAGTACGTAGGGATTTTTAAAAATATTAATTTTTCTCAAACTGGCAGCTATTTTACGAGACTTATATTGACAAAAATACGAACTTTTCGTAAAAATAACTGCCATTTCGAGAAAAATCAATATTTTAAAAAATCCCTACGTACTTCTATAGTCTTTAATATATAGATAATGAAAATTCCTTGTGTTTTGTTCAAGATCAAACCGTGTGTCTGGAATCCTGTACACCGATTTCATAAAACAGAAAAAAAGGGATTCCTTAAGTAGGCCATTGCGCCGTCATTTTATACATAAAAAAATAAAAAAATATATTTTTTTAGTTTCTTATATACAACTTCTTATGTACAATTATTTTTACAACAATGTCCTCTAAACAGCTTTTAAATAAAGTTATCTACCCACAAAAAATCCCGAATTTAGGTATC